TGGATTTTTCATCTACTCATTTTGATTTTCTTCTACTTGAGCTTCTGTAATGGCTATTTTTAAAATTATATATGTATAAAGGCATTTCTGAAGGCACGCACAAAAACTAAATATGAAATATAATTATTTAAATTTCTGTAACAAATTTAACTTTAAATATTTGTGTAAATGTATCAAAGAAATCTTGTATCTTCTTCTAGACTTTTATCCACGTGATGGCCTTGGTTTTAGAAAGTATTCTTTTGAGACGAGTTTACTTGAAACTTTTCAAGAAAGGTAAGAACAATGGTAGTTTTCTTTGAAGAGTCGAAAAGCTCTAGGGAAAAGAACATGGAAATCATTTGTCGGACTTAACGATTAAAAATCGTTGGTCGTGTATTGTGGAATAGGTTTTAAAAGGAACAGTTGAGAATAATCGTGGCTATGAGATAATACGGATGCTGTTTTATATTCCTTACCTTTTACTGGCTTTTTCAGAATATTTTTAACGTCACAGTTTAACGTCACAGTAAGGTAGTACATTTATATCACACATATTTCTCTATATACTTACGCACATATACACTTCCAGTTAAAAGTTTGAAATTATAGTTTTAATTTCGATTCATGAAACTATCCGGTTCCATATTACGGTTCATCATCAGAATCTCCAATATCGTTCTTGGCTAATACAAAAGATATTTCACAATAGAATAATACCTAACTGTTAGGTTCTAAAATTTCATCTATTGTCTTACCGATCTCATTACCTGATACGTCAATAAATTAATTTGTTCTATACTGAAAAATTTTTATGTAATTATCACAGTGGTGTATACAATCTATTTAAAAAAAAAAAAGTATTTAAATTTTTCTTTTAAATATTTTGTTTGTTTTTTCTTTTATTTTACCTAGTGACTTCAAACTTTTAGCCGTTAGTGTATATCGTAAAATTATATAGATATATCAAGTATAATACTCATCTCTGTGACGTTATAAAGATTTTACGTAAAGTTTTATGTATCCGGTATAATACACATGCTACCTTATATTATGAGACATATAGGGTGTCTGAGATTTTCCTGGTCAAATGTGTCAGCGTATTCAACTATTCTGATAGGAAATTTTCTGTTGATATTCTTTTACAATAGCTCATACGCGTAAAAAATGTTTGAAAAATTTTTTATTTAATAATACTTTAGGTATTTCGATCGATTTTATTTCGTAAGTCATAAATAAGCATAAGAAAGATAATCGTGATCGTCTGGAAATATAAATATAATTCTTGTTGAATTAAACGTGAATATTTTAAATTGAAATTATACCAATTTTAAATGGTCTATTTTTTATAGAATACTTTTGTTCTTATTTTGTCGTATAGAATATAGTATACTGATACAGTATGGTTAGGAAAACAACTCGGACACCTTGTATACATTACTGTGTATCATAACCACGTACCGAGAGTAGTTTTGTAAAGATCATTTTCTTGAAAGAGTATCTTCAAGCGGAAATCCTGAAGAGAGAGTAGACATAGGAAATAGAGTAAGGTATAACTTTGTGAAAATAAAGTCATACGGTGAAAAGTATACGAGCTTAAGAATTGTTGGTGCAGGAACAACGTGTTAAGAATTATAATAGGGTACAGGTAATTACAATATCGTAATCGTAAATTTGTTCTTTAACGAGAATGTCGACGGGCAAAGTCGTAGGAATAGGGTTAATATTATGTAGCTGCAATTTTAACCTGTATCTTGAACTTTGTCGATGTATTGCAACACGTGTATTCAGGCAAATTCCACACGTATTCACATATGCAACGTTCACTTTACGTTCGACCTCGAAATTGTCGAGAATAAAATGACTGATTTATTTTTACCTTTTTTATTAAATCTGGTTAAAAATCAAAGATTTAAAAATTAGTTTCAATTAGATCATTGGGATGGGGGATTCTCTAAAATTAATTAACACATTGTATGAAAAATACTTAATTTATTTTTATATATCTTCAATAATCTGCAAGACAAATTTTTAACATATATCATGTCATGAAATATAAATTTATTTTACACAGAAAAATATTTTGTAAAATAGAATTGAAATTTTTAAATATGTTATATAAAAAGTAATGTAAAAATCTTATTCGATTTAATAGAGAAATCGAAAATATCCCACGTGTTCGTAGATTAGATCAAACAAGAAATACCACATATACAATGTGTTAATAATTAGTTCTGATGGAACTCGTGACATATGCGTACACCTGTTGCAAAATGTTCGTGTTGGGTTATGTCAGGCATGTCTCGTTAAATATCTATATCCTTTTAGTTATACCTAGGTTCATTGATCCTTAAACACGGTCAGAAACTTTCATATTTTACATGAATTTAATATTCTGTTATTTATCTGTTATGCATATAATTAAATTATTTAATTGATATTAATTTTAATATTAAAAGGAAGTATATAGGAGGTTGAGAAAGGTGTGTTGGATAGATAGGAAAAAACATGAAGACAATTTTTATACTTCGTCGTTCATCCTTATTTTTTTTTCTTTTATTTTATTTTTTTTTTATTTTATTCAATCACATAGGTTAAACATAAATCAAGATTTTTTGAAAACAAATTATTCTTTTTTTTTTTGTTTGAATTTAAAACAGAAACAATTGAATTACTTTCGTACTCGCATAATCTCTAATCTTCTAATATATGTAAGTATGTAATTACGTATTTATAGATACGTGGAACACACACCATACATCGAAAGACATTCATTTTACATTATGGTCTGAAAAAGGAACCAGTCCGGCGAGTGTGTATGTTCATCATTTGTAATGAGTCATAAAAGTATGAGAATACGTTTTAAATATTATTATTTGATAACATTTTCTAAATTGCGCAATAACTTTTAAACCCAGTATAGTTCGTTCCATTACGTTCTGATCTATTTAGAGATGTAAACATTAGTCACAACTTTGTTATGAAAATATTCGACGTAAAAGTTTTTTCGTTTTGTTTATTTTTGTCGTTACAGGAATAAAAAAAATTTTCAAGACACTTTGTTTTTGTTTAATAAAAAAAGTAACAAAAAAGAAAAACATCTTCAAATATTTCTATGACTCCTTGACTTTGATGACTCATGTGCACATGTATTTATTTATTTACAATAAATAACAACGACATATTACAATAACGTTAGATTTTTGAACGTAATTGCAAGAATATAATCCCGATCGTTAGAAATATTATATAGTTCGATATCATTTGAAGTGATATTTAAATTCGATGTGGGGAGGAGGGCGGGAGAGGTTTTCGTGCTTTCTAGTAAGGTGCAGAAAATCAAGGATCTCGGAGATCGAAACGGTAGCTCCTTACGAATGTTCGCATATTTTTATTTATTTCTTGATTTATTTAATGTAATTATTTTCTTATCTCAATCCTTAAATCACTACTGATATTTTTTTTTCTAAGATATACATATCATACGTTGACGCAGCATCAAATATTAACGGTGGATATTAGAAATAATCCCCTTGTTTTTTATTTTTTTTTTTTCTTTAATTAAGAATTACTGCACTGTTATTTCTATCTTAATGAATTATTATTTCTTTTTTTTATCTTCTTTTCGTTTTTTAACAATAGAACGCGTCTTCTCGTTCGACAATTATAAGAACATTCTTGTTCGTTTATTTTTTATTTTATTTTATTTTTTCTTATTATTCGTGTAGACCGATTTTTCAGTTTCGATTTTGTTCTTTTTTTTCTTTTTTAATTTTTTTTTATGGGACTCTACAATCAGTGTTTCTATTATCGTATGTGTATATTATTTAAAATTACATAAAAGAAAAATCTGAAAGGATAAAATTAATAATTAAACAAATTCGATTATTTCAATATTTGATCGCGGTAAACAACGTCCAACATGATTTTTGGTTCTTTAAAATGGTCAAACTTTTAATTCGAGAGTTATAGATATTTGTATATTTTTGTTAATTAAATTATCAACTAACGCATGAATCGAAATCCGTTGCGAATTAAAAAATGTGGTAAACGAAATTGATTGTCGTTTGATTCGACTAATGAATTCTTCGTTTATTGGTATCCTAAATTTTGTTCATTTTATGAAACCATGAATTATGTTTTCATATCGATATATTTATAAACTATTCTCTCATTTTCGTAAAGTAATTCGACACGCATAGTGTCTGCGAATGTTGAGATAAAACATAATTAACTTTAATTAGTTTTTGCGATGATATTCGAGTTTCTTTTTCTTTTCTTTTTTTTTTATTTACAAAATATTTACAAAAAAATGATATGGCAGAACGGACTGAAATCGATATTCCTTTCTTTTTTTTTTTATATAACTCGAGTCCGTTTTCTTTTTTTTTTTTAACTGTTTAGAACAAATTTCGTTTTGAATTCGCATATTTTTACGTATATGAAATTGGTTTCATTTCCTATTTTATTTTATTTGAATTTTTTTTTTTGATCGTTAAATATATAATAAATTATATATTATTACATTTATATAATTATATTTATGTATTTATATAATAGATATTTAGGATATTTACAATTGTTATTAGCTTATTATTTACGGCAAGACTTTAGAGCACGCGTAAACGTACGCGTTGTCGCAAAACGTATTTACATGTTTTTAGGCGAGTTTTTTTTTGCGAAATTTAAGCGTGTCAATTTTTTATTTATTTATTTTTTTTTTATTATTATTTCAACCTTTTCTCACAAAGAGCAAATCTTATTGAAATATTTTTCAATTCTCATATACTCGCTGTTAAAATAAATATTGACTTGCATATTTCGTTCAATTTTTCAAATAAAAAATTATCTTTATAATCATACTCACTGTGTTAGGCAAATCCACTGAAGATATTCCGTTATTGAACAAATTGCGAAGTATGCTAGGGTTAAAAATAAAAATAAAAATAAATAAATAAAAAAGCAATCAAAAGGAAACGTATTTAAATGAAAACATCACGAAAAAGAAAGAATTTGGATATTAAAAAAAATTCGTATTATATTATTTAATTCGTCGTGAAGGAAAATAAATAAAATAAAGTAAAGTTAAAAAGGGAAGGGTCCGAAGGTTATCTCGATGGACCTTTAGACGGTGACCTCTTCTGAGAATCTGCTCTTATCATCGAGGTTGATTACAATGGCATGGGTCCTGGCGTGACCGGATTTGCTCTTGAACTTATCTTTTGCATCATGTTCTTTTCCGTTCGGCTCGGGGTTCGTTTCCGTGGCTATATCCTCGCTGGTGACGATTAGTTTCGAGGACGTAGAAACTCCTACATCGTTTTTACCATCGTTGCTGCTAATGTGAACTTCTTTATCGGTTTCTCTCAAATCCGAATGTTCACCTTTTCGTATACTCGTACTACTGCTACTGCTAGGATAACTATTACGATGTTGATCCTTACTTCGTAAACCATTTTTCTCGATACACGCTTGACACTTTTTCTCATGTTGTTCCATACCTTTTTTTTTTTATAAACCACGAGAAAATTTATTTTAGTATTTTCTATGTTTTCTTTTCCTATCTTTTTCTGGTTTTTTTTTTTTTTTATTTATTTGTTAGGAGTTCTGACACGTGATTTTTAAATAGAACGCGTTTAAGCATTGCACGTATCACTACATTATGACAAGTAAAATAATATGAAATATGAAAGTATACATTTCAAAAAAATATTTAAAAGTAATTAAATAAAACCGAGTGTCCAGTTACGTGATAGAAATTCTAAAAAGTTTTAACATCGCTAACATTCAACGTAAAAGTTATTTAAACGAAACGAATTTGATATTTCGAAATAAATGTGTTTAACCAAAGAAGATATATTCGCGAAATATTCTTAGGAAAATATTCTTAGGAAAGGTAAGAAGATATTGTCGAGTACCTTAAAGTAACTCTTACCTTCACGTTTGTGTTCCTTTTCACAAGATACACCGCCGGCTTCGCTTTCCACGAAAGTACGCGAACCGTTAAGATCGTTCAATCTAATGCTTGTAGAAATTGTTTGAATTGTCGATACTTGAGCTTCATTACGATTTGCTGCTTCTTGCATAGCTACAATTTTATTTACTAGGTAATGGTTACCCAATAACACGTTCTTCTCCTTTAAAACATCCAATTGTGCTATAAGACGATAAAATTCTTCCTAAAAATTTAAATACCACTTTTGTCGTATTTTTTCTTTTTTCCTCGTGAATTTTCTTCTTCTTATTTTCTACGAAATTTTCTATCCAAATTTAAAATAAAAGTACAAAAAGAGAAAGATAGATAAGAAATGGTTTAGCTAATTTCTTTCATATTTTTTACATTAAACGAAACGTAGAAATATTTTAAAAATCGATTTAAAATTTCTATCGTAGATAAAAATTAGTTTGTACCTTTTTATTAGAAATTTTTAAACAACGCGCGAAATAATTTTTGTCAATTTTGTTTTGTTGTATATAAATAATAATTAAATAAATTCGTAGTTATTTGTTATTAAAGGTATCATAGATTTTCAAAGACGAGGAAGAAACTTTTCCTCTTTGTTATTCAATCTTTCAAAGTAGGAATTTAATCATAATTATTATCGAGTTTCATTAACCTTACCATCGAACTTATTTTTTGGCGATTCAAGTTGGAAAAAAGTTAAATTAGTTAAGAAGAGTGAATTTTTCTCTTATCCATCTTTCTTTCTCTTTCTCTTAGTCCATTTTTTCTTTTTCTCACTCGGTTATCCGCTTGAACTTTTTTATGAATATTCATTAAGACTAGAAAATCTATTCGAGATGAATTAATAAAAAAGAAAAGAAAAGAAAAGGAAAGGAAAGGAAAAAGAAAAAAAGGAAAAAGAATAACAAAAAAATAAAGTAACAGAAGCGGGTCGTTAAAAAAAAAAAAAAAAGAAAAATAAAATATCTTACCGTAGAACCGTCGCTCTCCTCAGTGAAATTACCTTGCTGTAGTGATATTGAATTTGTCTGATTACTTGTACCTTGTGGTCGGCTACTTTTGCTTATAAATTTGGTAGCCGGACCGGTAAGTTTACCAGCTGAATCCTCTTTGCCATAACCACGAAATACCACATAAGCCTTTGCAAAAATAAAACAGATATTAACATTTACATTCCTAATTAGTGAGACTTCTACACAACATTTAACTTGTTAATCGTTTAGGTTTACTTCGTTTGTGAATATATTTGAAATTTACGTTTACTTTGATGGCAAATTAAATGTTAACATGTTACAAGGAAGAGTTAAAAGTTTAGGTTTAAAGCAAACGAATAAATAAAATCATTTAAGCAAATTAAATGCAATATTTCAAATATATTTTCTATTTTTTTTTTTTTTATTAATTATTTAAACATTTTTTGTTCTTACCTTGCTGCCAAATATGAGACACAACAATAGCGTGACGGTTAGTTGGGTGTGACAGAAAAATATGATATACAATAAATCCGGATTGGCCGGTGATTGGAGAAACAACCTAGGAATAGAAAAATAAAGAGAAAAGAAAAAAACGATAATTAATTCGTGAATTTTTATCAGAAAAGAAACAATTAGAAACGTTAATCGTGTCTTGAAATAAAATAAAAAGTTTTAAAAAGAGTAGGAAAAATCAATTGGATTGAAAACGAAATAGTACGCTTTGTTTCTCGAGATTATTTCTCTACCTTTCTAGTTTCTTGCTTTGTCAAATTTACGAGAGAAATTTATAATTACTTGAATAGACTTTAGAGAAAACGACACTTGCCATGAGGATTACTGGTATAGTCGGATTCAATCGCAACTAGAATTTTCTTCCATTTAAAACGTTTCCTCGTGGGCCATAGTTGATTCAATTTATTCTCGAATATTTAAGTAGAAATTGTATTTAAATACTTTAGCAATTAACTTATAATTCTTTTAATAAAATATAGAACATTTAAATATTATACTACAAAAATTATCATAATCATTTTATTTCCAATTAAATTTCATTCTTCTCATTAAATTATTCGTTTGATTTTGACAAAGTTTAAGACACTTTAAAAAAAAATTTATATAAATGGGGAGGGGGGTATTGTGTTATTGATAAATAATTAAATTAATTACAGTTTAACTTACATCGAAACATTGAGGAAGACCGATAGCAAAAATTCGTTGTAAATGGCCATCGATATGAATCGACTCTCGTTAAATTCGGACGGGGTTTTTCTAACGACGATGCATAATCTGATACCCCAAATTAGGAACATCACTTCAACTGAAAAAAAAAAAGAAAAAAATAATAATAGAGATAGAGAGTAATTAGATTTAATAAATAACAAGAACGATATATGTGTGCGTAAGTGAATATGTGTGTGTATAATGATAATAATGATACATTAGTATCAAAAACGAGACTTTGACAATTCGTCGAAATTAGCATTGAATAATCGATGTTAAATTATTACAGATCATTACCTTAATTTGAAATTTACTTTAATGTCTGTCGTGTTATTTCAATCAAAAACTAAATATGCAATGGCAACATTTCCGATAATACCGCATTTCGTATTGGTCGAATTTAAATTAGGTAATTAGTATTAAAAGAACAATTATTGTTCATTTCAAATCAAGTACCTATCCTATTTACAGGTGCTTTGAATTAACATAATTATTGGATCACAGAAAGGTAGATTTTTTTAATTACATTTTTCATCTAACCAGTTTTTGCTTTACAATTATTTTACACTCTTACAATTAATTATTTAACTGTAATTAATTAGTTTTGACGAGATCGATTCAGAATTAAATTGAAAAAAAGTAGAAAAAATATTCGAACTGTGTGTGAAAAGTAAATTTTATACTTGTTTGATTTTTGTACTTTTTTTTTTTTTATCTCGATTCAATGATTTTCGAATTTCGAGTATTAATTTTACAATAGAAATGAATAATCTTCTCTTCGTGTTGTCTTATACAAAAAATAAAAAAGAATTCGTTTTCGATAAATTCACTATCGTGACTTTCCTGCAATTAATCGTTCACTCTTTTTTCACACACATGTACACTACGCTCACATAAAAATCTCTCATTTTTTATCTCTCATTCTTTTTCACAGTCTTTCACGAAACGAAACGAAACGATTCGGATAGCTCTGGGCAAGTTTCCCGTTCCCACGTTGAGCTTGACTTTGATGTAAGCCGACTTCCTCGCTTTTGTAAAACTTAAATTCTCTTAGACCGTGCTCTATTTTCTACTTAAGCAAAGCACGAAGTTATAAGTTAACAACGCTCTGTGTTTTTTTACCCTCACTCTTTATTTTCTTTTTATTTTTTTCCTTATTTGTTTCTGTTTAGACGTTAGAAAAATCACCAGACTTAAGAATAACGAAAGCAAGTGTTGCCTTCTTTTTTTCTTCTACTTGTCGTCACTCGCGCTTCTCATAATTTATTCTTAAAAAAGAAAACGAAAGAAATAAACGAGAATGAAAGGTTATAAATTCGTAAAGATTTGTTATATATACTATTTATTTATTATACTACGAATCTTTGATATACGTTTCTTATCGTTTTAGGGATAAAATAATAAAAAAAAAAAAAGAAACTATCGATATACGTGTCAAATTTCGAGCGATTAACTTTCCTTTCTTCCCTCTTGTAAATCTTTTTTATTTTTTCTCGTGTGTAATGCCGTTAGATTTTTTCTTCCTAGGAAGAAAATAAAAATAAAACAAAGATGAAAAAGAGTAAATGAGGTGGAGGAGGAGGAGGGAAAGAAGAAGATAAGTCTTAGAGATTTAGTCCCTCAGATGCGGGTTTGGACTTTTACTAAAAGACTGGCAGAGGTTAAGTTCTTATATTTTTTCTATTTTATTTCGTTTTTTTTTTTTCCTTACGATTAGTTTCATCTCCCTTTTGCCACGAATAAAGAGAAAGAGAGATAAAGAAAGAGAACAAACGCTGGGTTAGACTTAAATCGGTAAGATTTATTACTTCTTTTGCTGGTCTTGACGCCTCATCTCTCTCTTTCTCTTTTTCTTTTTTTTTTTCTTTCTTTATTTTAGTATTCTTTCTCTCTCTTCTCTCTCTCTTTTAGTTTATTTCGAAAATCGAACTAACATACTCTTAATTGTTTCTAATCGATCGAATTAAGTAAAACACGATGTTTCTCTTATGTTAAATGAACTCCCATTTTGTTTTTTCCTTGTTTTAATTTTTCTTTTCCTTTTTTTTTTTTCTATGTTTTATGATTAGTTTTCATAAACTAGTTTCAAAACTAGAATTTGTTTTCTATTTTTATTTTTATTTTTATTTTTATTTTTATTTTTTTTTTCTAAATTAGAAAATACGTCAAAGATATATGCATAATTCCGAAGGTTAACTTTAACGACCCTCGACCCATCATTCCGACCACTTCCCTTTTCAAGATAAAAGTTAATCATACCAAATTCGCAAGATCTCGTCTCAAGACGATAGGAGAGGGAGAAAGAGAGAGAGAGAGAGAGAGAGAGAGGAAGGTTTTATAAGTAAAGTATTTCTACTTCAAGAGAGAGGCATCTTTTTTTTTTAAAAAAAGGTAAACGCAAAATGGCCATCCCTCTGATGATGATAATGATGATAATGATTCCTCTACGAATATAATTTTCGTTTTGATAAATGAGCATAAAATTTCAAGCGGATGTTTGCTTTACAAGTTGTATCCTTGTAAAAAATTAGATTAGAATAGGAAAAAAATATTACAAGTTCAAACAATTTTGCGTTTAGGGAAATTTTTTCCATCGGAAAAAAAAAAAAAACAGAGGACAAAAATAAATAAAAATTATTTTCATATAATCGTTTGAATTTTAAACGGTATTTTTTTTTTTTTTAATATGAATAACAAATTGTACTTTTTACCAGAGATTCGATTATCCAAGTAATATTTTACAGCTGATATTTTATAATCGTATAATTTTGTATGTACGATTATTATGGTAACAATTTTAAATCGTTCGAAATTATTTTGTTATTTGTTTTTTGTTATCGTGCATTTTGCATTACAAATGAATAACAAATAGTAATCAATTTTGGGAAAAAAATAATAAAAACACCACTGAACTTCGATTTCTCGGCTTGTATTTTATCTCGCGATAAGATTGTTATCAGAATAATATTTATCGAAATATATATATATATATATATATAGTACGTGTAGAAATAAGAAAACATATCAAAGATGTAAACTTTTAATACTTTCGAAGTTTCTATAAAAATCGAAATTTTTTAGGAGGAGAAATGGGTGGAAGGAGGGTAAATTTTTGCAAGTAACTTATGTTAGAAAAGTTTTGTGAAATGTTTACGATTCTTTTAAAATCTATTGGAAGTACGTTTATATTCAAGTGAAATATACCGGAACGAGGTTTATGATCTTCCATTAAAGTTTTCATCTTAACGATACACGTGTAATAAGCTGTAACGCTTGTGTAACCCATCGTTAATAGCACTTAAACCATACGCTAACCGTTCGGGTCGGATCTTTCTGCGTAAAACATTTTCTACACGTATAATATACATATACACGTATATATATATATACATCTATCAGAATCTGGTAGAAGAAAATGATATTGTAAGATTAATTAGTTACGTGTACCGGACTACTAATCATTATGTTTTGTGTGTTGGCTTTTCGACTAGCCTTTCTACAGCAGTTGCTAATCTAGTTGGGTATACGTTTTAAATGATCGATAATTTTCTAACTTTCTAAACAATTATATATGGAAAATAGTTATATTATGTGTTATATTATCAAGGAACATACAAATTTGGTTATTATATAATATTAATTCGAATATTTAAGTCAAATAAATTAAAAGTTATACTCGTGCAATTATAAATAGAAAGAAAAAGTAATTATTAATATTTATGCAATATACTTGGATGTTTTATTTAGAACAAATTTTTTTAATAAACGATACTCTTATTGATGAGTTATTTTTATTTTTTTTTTATTTAGAAACGATACTTTTTTTTTTTTTTACTTTTTAAAGAACCGTAATAAAAGTTTCGCGTTGTCGATATCTAGTTGGAAAATATTTTCTCATTAGATGGTTAATTTTGTGATAATAAAAATTACGAGTAAAAGGATCATTGACATTAATGGCTAATTAAATCGATATTTTATACTTTGATAGAACAACGAATGACGTAAATAGAAAATATTAAAGGCATTGATATAAATCCTTAAGGGAGTTTACGTTAAGACCTCGACGTTTGTATACTTGCAAGTATCGTTGCATAAATTTACTTCCCAACGGCTTTGAATATTATTGTATTATTAATGATGATGGAAGCGGTTTGATACGTTCGAAATTGATATTACCTACGTTGTATCAAACCCCTTTCGATTTATTATTATGTAATTTACAACACATTTTTCTTTGATTAAAAATATTAATTACATTTCATAAGTTTTCTTTTTTGCAAATAATCTGTTGCATTGATTTATTTGTGTCATTTAATTAATGATACTTACGCGTTGTAAAACTGTGATCCCACCAATCCGTTCGACAAAGGTAAGCTTTCAAATCATCCGCTGTACGTGCAACTATGACAACCGGTGGTGCTACCAACGTACGAATACTTAAAAATACACTGAATATCATTACTATGATACCAAGACGTTTGAGTAAACTTGCATCCGTTATTTTGACTGCCTTTGCCGATTTTACACGAAATATCACCGATATCCTGTAATGTTAAACAAGAATTTATTTATTTACAATTCATTAAAATAGTTATTTTATTTATAAAAAAAATCATTCGTGTGTTTCTTTTTTTTTTAATTTTTTTTTTATTTTCTATGTAATATATATTCGTCTCTCGTAACTCATTAATTTATTTTGATTATTAGTATTAAGACGATAAATGATTACACGAGTCTTTGTGAAAATGATATCACGAGAAACAATGAAAGTTTCTTATCATTAACGAAGAATACCCGAATACGAGTTGTAGAAGTTGAACAGTCTCGTAATGTAAAATCTATGTCTCGAGAAGAAGATTAACGATGATTTGACAATAGTAGAGAAAAGGGGGATAATTATAGTAGGGTATTCGATCGAGAAAGGGTAAAGCTTTCCCTTTAGTTTAGTCGATTTAATGAACACACTGTGAAACGGATTCAATTCGTTCCATTTCATTTTACTCGAGTTCGTTTTACTCTATTTTTTAACGATTCGCCCAACCTATTTGATTTATCCAATAGAAATAATAATAATAATAATGTATTTAAAATAAATATTTTCTATTATGATTTTGGAATTTTTTTATTAAATTTTTTCTTCAATAGAATTTAAATTTCAATAGGATTAATTTGCGATAAAATTGATCTGTCAAAAGCATCGAAATATTTTAATATTTATCAGATAGATGACAAAAGAAAAGATTTAAAAGACCAAAAAGAGATTCCCATGAACTTTCTTTCTCACAGCGTGAAAACGAATGAAGTTAGAAGAAGTGACCAGATACGAGTAAAGAGAAGAAATAAAAGTAGAAATAGAAAAGGAAAAAGTAGATGAAGAAAAGAATAAGGAGTAGAAAAAGAAAAGGAAAGAGAAGGAGGAATGGTGAAAAGAAAAAGGAAAAAAAAAAAAAGGAGAAACGATCTTTTGTCCAGGAAGTTTGAAAGGTACGGAAATCCTGTGGTTTCGAGAAGGTGCCGTTTTTTGTCGGTGAGAATCGAAAAAGATAAGTACGGTGTAATAGTAAAGTACCGGGTACTATTATCGATCCTTTATAAGTTCTCAACATTCTTTTCTAGTTCTTTTTCTTTCTAGTTCTAATTTACGATTAAAAAGTAAAAGTTAAATGCTGGTAAAACGTGTCATCAAAGGGCTTAATTTTAAAACTCAAAACAAGAAAAACTACTATATCAATTTCGATCAAAAATATTAAAGATATTTATTTCAATATTTAATTATAAATATTATTATTAGTATTAATTATAATTATAATTTTTAATTTTAATTTTCTATAAATTAAATATCTTCAATATTTAATTTAATTCAATATATTAACATAAATTAATTATTTCACAAATCTCAATTACTTCAATAACTTTTATAATTATTATTTAAATATGAAAGAATATTTCTATAGAAATAAAGAAGAAAAAGAGAGGAAACTGAGATCGTAAATAGTTTCCAAATTACGATTTGCACTTGTGCATATACTTCAAAAAAAAAAAAAAAAAATTGTGAATCCTTGCGGAAAGTAGAAAAGGAAAGGAAAGATCCTTCATCAAATTTTTCGGTCGATAAATAACCAAGTAAAATATGTAAGAGATAGTTTGCCAAGGAAAATGTACTATACAAATGAGATATAAAATTCTCGTGAAAAGAATTCTTTTCAATGGTTGGGACATATCCAACGTTGGTATGTAAATATTCTTATGATACAAGGAATGATGTGACTTTAGAAAAATAATTCAACGCAATGGTCAAATCGTTTCAATGACTTTCTATAAAAAAAAAAAGTAAAAAGAAGATGAGGTAAAATGATGGATGAATGAATAGGAAAAAAATATTAGAAATGATTTTATTCATTCAACATTTCTTTAATATTGATGATGTTTTGAATAAAAATAAAAATTTAGATATAAAAAAGAAAGAAAGAAGCTTGGTATTTCATTTTGAATATACGATAATGTTCGGATTAAACGAGAAAAGGGAAATTGAAGTTTAGTTTTGTTCAGTTTCGCGTTAAAATGTTCTCAAAATGTTCTCTTAATGTTCGATTTCTATCCAGAGAACAGGAGATATTAGAGGTTGGGGAATTGAAGTTGGGTTTTGGGGGTTGAGTTGGGGTGGTATGGAGGGGTGAGTGGGGTGTTTGATTGCATGCGGGCTGGATTAAAGCTTTTGCCATGTGTCGGGACAAACAGAATTGACGAAGACTTTACTATTACTGAATATATCGGTAGTGTCAGCCATATTATCAGAATATGACCGGATGTATGTCAGCGATATATATATATATATATATATATATATATATATCGTTACGTATTATATATGTTCGTAGTATTGGTAGATATAATGCGAGAGAAACGTGGCTTTCATCGAACCAATGTAAATCGGGATAATGGCAATGTTCCTAACACCCTACGATATTGACTCGTTAACATATCCAGAGTTGAATACAATTCGCTCCTAAATACTCTATGATCTTAATTTCCAATTTAAATGATATTAGTGTAATCATATCTTTTCATCATAATCCTATATTCATTTTGTAATCGTACTAAAAGATGGATTATTCTAATTATTCGTGATCAAGTATTTTTTTTTTTTTTTAGACGGCACCATAAATAATTTAAAATATGTATACATAAAATATTCGTGGATGGACTGTAACTAGTTCTTGACCTGTGATAAAAAAATAATTTTATTTTTACTCTTCAATATTTTTTGTTTCGTTTGTATGCATCGCTTAACGAAAGTAATAATATAATTAAATTTAAAATAAAAATATTTATAATGCAATTGAAACGTTTAACGCTTGAACAAAATTAGAGAAATAATATTAATAATAAAAATGTATTATTTAATTGTATGGTAATTTTAATTAAGTAACATTTAATTATGGATTTTGAAATTATGCAAAAATTAATATTTGCAATGTTTTCCTTGATTATTTTAAAACTATAATAGAAAATGTATTATCGAATTAAGAAATCATTTTCTAGCATATAATTTCATGCATTGATTCGTCTTATTCGAAATAATTCAATATACGTGTTCAATTATACGTTCTCCATCTTAGATCGTATCGTCGATGTTAAATAATTAAATGTTCTCACGTTAACGTTTCAAAGCTAATGAGACAAGTTGGTGTATTTCGATGCCAGAAGCTTAACGTTTAACGTTCTTTGAACGTGCGAAAGCATGAGAGTATATTTACTCGCCACAGATGGTAAATTGCAGAGTTGTAAGCGTCATTATCCAAGTAATCGATTCCTTTCAATGACTCTTCTTATTTTCTCGACACTTACACTTACTACTATTTTAGAATTTATCCTAAGGTAAAACTATTTATCTCTCAAACAACCTTTTTTGTTTCTCCTCCTTTTACCTTTAACTTCTCTTACAAGTTTCATTATATTTCTAACGTAGAGAAATGCGTGCACTATTGTGGAAAAAAGAAATATATGTCTACGTTGTAAGAATTTAGTATTTTTTTTTCTTTTCATGTATGTTGTAGAGAAAAGAAATAAAATAATAGAGTATTGAACAATACTTTGGTAATTTTTTTAAAACGTTAGATTTTTCTAATACAAATTTTTGTGCATATTTAAAAATATATAATTAACGTGTTGCAATTTTTAATTTTTTCTTTTTTTTTACCGTACTAGAGGAACAGATACATATGGGAATTTAAAGAAAAAAAAAAAAAGTAATTATCAATCGTTCGTTTACTTACCGCCAAGTTTTCAACATTAAAGCACCGTACGTCAAAGAAAATCCAATTTCTCTTAACCAAACGCGAACGGTGCAAGTAATAACATTTGGTTGAGGATACATTACTATCGTCTGTAACATATAAACATAAAAAAAATGTGCACAATTTTGTTTTTTGTTTTCTTTTTTTTTTTTAAATGAAAAAATATGATAAAAAAATAGGATCATAATTATAATTATATTAAAATTATTCGTATACGAATGTTATAATACGTCTAATGAAAAAAACAGTAATATTATAAAAGAGAACATAATCCGAGGAATATTATTCATACAATAAAAAAGTTTATTAAAATCCGTCGTCCATGGATGATATAATTCTTTGTAGTAAGAAAAAGAAAAAAATAAATATCGGACTTTACCGTGCAATATATGAAGAATGCACCCAACACTATAACGCGTAGCAAAACCGGGCTGGCAGCTCTGACTATCTGAAATAAAACAAAATTTCTAGGTATTGTTTGTTATTGCGACATACTTTATATATATATATATACATGAAAGATTCTTTTTTTGTCAAACGAATTTTTTAATGAAAAATTACACTTTTCTCACATATATGGGTTTATTTTAACGAACGTATGTGTACGTACACATTACAAAAGTAATATTAAATATACATTGAGTTATATATTCATTAAAAAATTCGATGTTACTCATTTGTAATATACAATTCAAAGTAGATTGGACTAATCTAAAAGTATATTGCATAAATTATGGTAATTTCAAACACAATCTTCATACGTGATGCATACATTTTTTTTCTTTTTCATAATTTGTAACAAATATTCTTATGTTTAAGTTTTTCCTTCGACGTAACCATTGAACGAATTAACCACGTTTGTAAAAGTGATTATTATTATATAAAATGAACAAAATATTATTTCAATAATTATTAAGTATTATGTGTTAATAAATATTAGGATGCAAGAACAGAATTGTATTCGATATAATAATAATAGTAATAATAATAATAATAATAAGGGAATCAGTGAATTATGACAAGTCTCTCTCTCTCAAAATTTTATTCTGTAGTAGTTTCAAATTATTTATTGCTAAATTCGTTATTATTTTGACTATATCATCATCTCTTTCTTTCTCTCATTTTCTTTTCGCGTTAAGAACACACACAGTAATACACAAGAAGCAAGTTTATTCAATGCAATACAGTAAATGAAACAGTGAAACACGCAAAGGGGAAATTAGCTTTGTTGTTGCCGCTGCTACTGCTCTGATAGAAGAAAAACTTTTACCTCTTTTTTGTTTCTCTTTCATTTCTTCTCGAATGTTTTCTTATTTCACTAATCCTTAACTACTACTACCTTTTCAATATTGTCTAACGTATACACAGAAATTACAAAGTAGTTGCTAGGTGTTTTTTTTTTTTTTTTGAAGAGATGTGGGGATGAAAATTTTTCCTCTTACAAATTTAAATCTTTTCTTTCCCCTTTTGTTACATCTGTTCTTTTGTTTTATTTATTTTATAAATGAGATTAATACGAGACTTTTTTAAAAACGAATGAAATAAATGTCTCGTAAATGAAGTTAATTATTCGTCAGGAAAAAAAGAAGGTATTCTAGTGATTTAAGAAAAATGTTCGTGTTCTGTGATTATTTTTTATATAAAAGACGATTAAAAATTAAATTAATATACGATAATAATTCTGAACAATTTATTATCAAAGTGTTTGTGTTTCTATTTATTAAAAAAAAAAAAAAAAAAAAGAACTCGTACGACATAAAGTAATTCCATTTAAGGAGAACAATTCACAATTCGATCGAATAAGAGTGAAAGCAAATAAAAAAAAAATAAAAGAAATAAAAGATAGATAGAGAAAGAGAGAGAGAGAGAGAGAGAGAGAAAGAAAGAGAAAGAGAATATGGTTGGTGGAAGATTGAATTCGTGAGAATCGATTCTAAAGTTTAGAAGTTTATTTTTTTTTTGTATTGTTTCTACCCAAAACGAGAAATCTATCTTTTAGTAGATAGAAAATTGGAGCACAATAAGGAGAGTTAAATTTTTGGTCCCATTGTATCATTGAAAGTTTGTCCAAACTGTCCAGTATCTTTCTCTGGTTGTATAAAACGCAAAGCTACTTGGAACTTTTTATATTATTCAAAAGGAAAAAGTGTTCCCTAAAGCCGTAAACTCGATTAATGCGTTCTTTTCTTGTACTATCGTATCGTTCCCCTCCCCTCTCCTCTTCATTCCCCCTCGTCAGGACCTTATTTTCTTCAAGATTTATCGTTTCAATAATACACACGTACCTTTCATACATAAACACGTACGTTCATACATAAATACACGCGAGAATTGTAGGATAAAACGTAATATGTGTATAGGAATATGTGATACGTTTTTATTAATAATGTATAATTTTATCGCGAAGTTTATTTTTTAAACAAATCTATTTAGCATAAAGTACTTATGTTTTTTTAATCCGTTGGTATCGTATTTTCTTATCGGATGTTGTAGTGGTTTATTTTTTTTTTTTTTTTACATCTATGCAAATGCTCGTATCGGTTGATATTACTTGTTCGTTTGTTTGTTGGGTTTATATTTTAATGATTTTGTATAAATTTAAAATTACCTTTTTTTTTTCTATGATCTACATAAATTTAATTTATATTAATTTAATATATAATTAATTAATATATTACCTAGTTAATTAAATACTTTATTAATATATACAATTATTATAAATAATATATAATTATTTAAATATAAATTAATTATAATTAATATAAATAGATATATATATATATATAATATAAAATAAATAATAAAAATTAATTATAAAAATATATAATTGTATAAAAAAAATATTACAATTATATAAATTATAAAAATATAAAATAATATATTAATACAATGATTTATAAAATAATTAATATAATATATTATATTATTAACATAATATGTTAATTACCCGATTATTAATTTAATTACTTAAACTTTTACCTAAAGATAATCGATTATTTTACGAGTTATGCAAATTTTGTAAAATATCTTTTATTTTTATTTTTTATTCTTTCAATTTCCAACGTAAGAAAAGGATTGTTCAGTGTGTATATATGTGTATATATGTATATATATTTTATAGCAATAAGTTCATTCTCGATTACATACAAATTGCAATAATCCCATGTATATTATCTTAAGATGTGATTAAATGTTTTCAAACCCTTTATAATTTATATCTAAATGGATCTACGGGGAATATTCGACACCGATACTTGTCCTTATGCAAATTGTCGATATTATCGTAGCAATATTCTGGTTCTATGTATGAACCGGACGTTCTTGCCTTGGGGAAAAGGTGGAGGAGGTTGGAGGAGGTAATTCACTTTAACGTTCGATTCATTCTCATAGATGCTTTACGGGAAAATATTCCTTGAAATCCTTGTACCCTGTATTCAACTTATTGAGATTATTATTATAACACGTATAGAATAAAATATTATATAAAACAATGAAATAATATAGACATAAGTGTGTGTGTGTGTGTGTATATAAAAATTATTAATACTTTTTACATTGTAAAATTAACGACTAAGAAGAAAAAAAAGTTGTAATCCTATCCACTGAATATACCTGGGATCATTTAATTGGAAAAAAAAAGAAAAAAAAAATGATTACTCAAAGCTTCTTTTGCTTGGACGATACTATCGATCCTTTTATAATGGAAATTAATTAACGTTAGAGAAAAATTACGAGCAAATGAAGAGAAAGAAAAACAGAGAGAGAGAGAGAGAGAGAAACAGGGATTCCAAACGTAGATGCAGAAAAGTTAAATTGTTGTTTTCGTAATCAAAGCAATTTAACGTTTAATTGTAAATGCACTCTAATGGCGTCCTCTTGTACCAAAACCGCATCTTTCTTATGCTAGAACAAAACGTTAAAGTACTTCTTGCTTCCCTGTTTGTCTGTCCGTCCATCTGTCTGTCTTTTTCTTTCTTTCGTATCACCGTGAATAGAAGTGTCTATGTTACAGGTAAAATTTGTTTGTTTTTGTTTATTTGTTATCTTTTAGATTTTTCTTTTCTCGACATTGGAAGAAAGACGTTCGTTCTCGGAACAATGAGAGGAAGAAATGTTATGAACGAGCCAAAAGAAGAAACCAGAAAGTGGGTGGGTGTTGGTGGTAACAGTGTTAGTGATGGTATACAACCAACATACGTGCTTTTTCTACTCCAACGAGAGAAATAGTGTTTGCTTTTGTAAAGAAAATCCAATAGGGTGGAATTAGTCGTGTGCAGTGTTGTTAGAAAGCAACAACTGCAAAAACACTCTACGTTGAATTCTTCTATTATCTTTTTTTTTTTTTACCACACCCCCCTTCTCACACTTTTCTACCCAATTTTTGTTGTTGTTGGAGAGTTCTTTTATTTTCTTTTTCGAGGTGACAGGAAAAATGGTATTACCATTTTAAACAATGGGAATTGCCAAAGAGAGGAAATAAAAAAAAGTGTTGGGGTGTTAGGGTATGAAATAAGACTTGTTTTGTCTGTTAGAATAAATATAAATAATTAAAGAAAAATAGAAAATACGATTTAAAATAAATATAAAAATATTCTTCGATTCATCTCATAAATTGTAAAATTATATGCTAGGTATATAAACCTATGTGACTAGGCCAAATACAATTTACTTTTTATTACTAGTGAATCAATGTTTAACAAATTTGAAATTCTAATTAAATTCAAGAATGAAACTTTAGGAATAATGTATGAAAGCATTTTAGAGAGTGATATTATCTTAAATAAATACAAGTAAAATTATTCCATATTCTATATTATCTTTTTACCATAATAATCGTTGTTATATGTATCGTAATTTTACAATTGTGTTTTCTCTTGCAAGTAATATATAATTGAATTTCTTTTTAAAGTAATACAAAATTCAAAATGTTCTTACAGTTTTAAGGTTATATAACATTCCACATTGTTTAATCTTTCATTTTATAGAAATTCTAGACAAACGGGGAAATGAAATGTCATAAGCATGTGTGTTCTCCTTTGATAGTGTGAATTTAACCCTTATGAGATTGGGGTGTGTGTTCATATGGTTTGTCACCTGTTCTAATTGCTTCAGCAACAAAGTGAATGTAATTAACATTTCTTTTTTTTTTTTAATTTAATTTTTAATATATGAGCTAGATTTAATTTAATAAATTTAATAAAAGAAAAATGTAGTAGACAAATGCAAATATAAAAAGGAAAACAATTATTTTATATAATATATATATATATATATATTAGTAGACAAATGCAAATATAAAAAGGAANATAAAAAGGAAAACAATTATTTTATATAATATATATATATATATTTATAAATTATTTTATATAAAAATTATAATTAATATATTATATAAATTTATTTTAAATATTAATATTTTGACTATATTATTAGCAATACGAATGATTC